GGATTCACAAATAATACACATAAAAGCAGCTATAAAGAAATTGAACAAATCTGCAAAAGACCACTTTAATATGTTTAAAAGAAAAAATAAATTTTAAAGAAAAGATAAATATTTAATATTGATAAACTTAATATTATAAATTTAATAGACAAAGATATGGTTCACCTAAACCAAGCCATGTTATTTTCAATATCCTGAAGGATTTGCTGCAGAACGTCAAGGACTACAGTCCTCAATATGGATTGCATCTTTTTTTTTTTTTTAATTTAGGTTGTTTATTTTTCATTTCAATGAACATCTACAGAGATTTTGGGATTCCATTCATTCATTTTAAGAGATAAAAAGGGGACAAATATACTGTGTACCTGTTGCATCTCAAACTAGGTATAGTCAAAGTTAAAAGCCAATTTCAAAAGACAGTTTTTCCCCAAACATACACACATGAATCTTTATTTGGAAGCTCTTCTGACTCTGTAAGTGGTAGGAATTATTTTTAACAGCACAATTTGCAGGTCATTAGCAACATTAACTAAATCTTCCTCATAAAGACAATTCACAGATTCATTATTTAATGAAGAGGAAGGCCCAAGCTCGGATTTTATCACCTGACACCCTTTACAATGTTGCATGCGCTTCTCCAACTCCTAAACAACTGAACTGGTTGAAGAGATAAAGATTACTGAAATAACTAAAATAAATCCCACAAGTCTTAAATTTGCCACTTCTTTGGAGTAAGATTCCTATCAGCTGTGGAGTGGCCAAGTTTACGAAATGAGAGTCTAAATGTTTTAATATTGACGTGCTGAAGTTTTTTCATTTCTTCCCCAAGAATGGCAGGACACTATGTTTGATCAACTGCTGTAAAATTCTGATGCTCAAGCTAAATTTTCAGAAGGATCTACCAAGAACAGAATGCACAAAATACTTTCAGAAAAACTAGCCGATAGTCCTGTCAAGAACTGAGTTTGTGGATGGATAATGTTGGGAGGTCTCTGCAAGGCCATTCACGCATCTTGGTGTTTCTGTGACGAGGAATGGGGCTGACAAGGGCCTGTGGGTGGAAACCAAGATATGTTGCTAACATGCAGTACATCGCAAATGTGCTGGTAGTGAGAGATATTCTTAAGGAATACCTTATTGTTCAAAGAAACAAAATTTAAAAATATGACTTCTTAAACCACATGCCTATGGAAACTCTATGAATTTGGCGAAGCTACGATAGTTACAGAAAGATTCCAGGTCTTTTGTTCATGGGGTCGCTATGAGTGGTGATCGATTTGATGGAAATCAACAACAATATAAAAAGAGGTAAATTCCACTGAAAGCGTTAAAAGCAGACTTGCTGGCACACAAGCTTAAGAAATCAGGATAGTCTGGTTGTTAAATGTTTCAAAAGTTTTACAATATGCCACAAACATTGCTTTTCTGAGTTAATTCAATAGTAATGGGACATTAGTCTCCATAATCTTTCCCCCGAAACACTTGTTTATTAGAGTAAAATGCAATAAAGTCTATCTAAAAGGAATTGCCTATTGGGATGCTCTACTGCATATTTTAAGAGGACTAGACATGTTCCAACTTACCCTGCGTGATGGGTGGAGGCCTCAAGACACACCCCTTACTATAGGTGGCAGGCTTGCCCTCCAGTCAAATAATTCTGTTTTCTAAGGTGAGTAATGGCATTAACTACAGTTAGAGTTGCATTTAACTTAAAACTTTGTGGAGCTTACTTTGTATCGAACTTTTAAGGAGAGAAGCAAATTTTCTCACTCTTTGAAGAGTGTCTAAATTGAATTTAAGGAGTAATACGGTTGGTTCTAAATTATACGACACAACTTCTACGGAGCTCTGGTGGACTAGTGGTAAAAAGCTGTGCTGCAGTCCCAAACGCATGCGGTTTGAAAAGACTCTATGGAAGGAAGATGGGCAGTCTTCTCCTCTCATGCAACATACAGTCTCTGAAAGCCTGCCGGAGGGTCAGCTGTCAGTCGGTGCTTGACCAAAGACACACAACAACAACAACAGTTCTAAAAACATTAACTCAGCCTATAACTAGTTTCTGGAAAATAATAATTTTGTGCCAGTTGAGGACATAGCTTAGCAATTACCTCTGAGGAAAAATTAAGATTAATTGGAAAAAAAAATAAATGAGGAAAAGCTACCAGCTACTGTCAGGTCAAGTTCAATTCAAGGCAATACAGGTGTTTGGGAGTAGAAATTGTACTGTGGTCTTCAAATACCCCCAATCTTTCAGAAATTAACAGCTGCACCTTTGTTCTGAGGCATTTCTGTTGTCATCGTTGTTGTTATGTGCTCTCCAGTTGGAATGACTCATAGCTGACTCTCCAGTGGGTTTTCAGAGGCTTTAACACTCATGGGCAGAGAGGCCCTCTTTCTCCATGGAGCAGCTGGCAGGCTCAAACTGCCTGCCTTTGGTAACTCCTTACCACTCGGCCATCAGGGCACCTCTAGGTGGGCTCAAACTGCCAGAACTTTTGATAGCAGCCAAGCATTTAACCGACTGTGCCACCCAATGACTCCTGAGAAAAAACTGGAGTCTACTCAAATGACAGTCAGTAGTCAGACAGAAGTTCAAGATAGGCTTATAATTAATACAAGTTGCTGTTGTAGCTGCAGGAGTAAAACTACTGGTCTGACGTTCAAACAGTAATGGTTAGATCTAAAATAAAGTACAATGTACAGAAATAAAAATTTAACCTGATACAGGAAGTTATATAAAATTCTAAATATTAATAGTGTTGACACAATATCAATTACAACAATAAGGCGAATATAAAACACACAGAGAGACACCCGCACATAGACAAAATGAAAATTAGCTGCCACCAAGTTGATTCTGAATCTCGGCAGCCTCCCTGTCACAGGGCAGAAGAGCTTGTTCTTGTCTGTAAGCTTTACAGAAGCAGATGACAGATCCTTTCGCATGCAATGCCCCAGGATAGGTTTGAACAGGCAACCTTTAGGTAGTCGTCAAGTACAAAACTTTTGTGCCACCCAGTGACCTGCTGAATAGATTATATCTTATGATTATAATTTTTTTATCCTATGGACTGCCAAGAAAACCAACAGATTCATTGTAGAGAGGATTAAACCAGGCTGCTCCTTGGAGGCAAGGATTCTGGGGCTTCGTCTGACATACTTTGGACATGTTGTAAGGAGAGACAGGTCTTTGGAGAAGGACATCATGCTGGGCAGAGTGGAGGGACAGCGCAGGAGGGGAAGACCCTCTATGAGGTGGATTGATTCAGTGACTGGGGTACTCGGGATGGGTTTGTCAGAGGCAATGAGATTGGCACAGGACAGGGCAGGGTTTAGGGCTGTTGTACATAGGGTCGCTATGAGTAGCAAACGACTCGACGGCACATAACAACAACAACAAGAAGAAGCAGGTGATAATTTTCCAGGTAAACAGAGGTTTTTAAACCTACAAGCAAAGTGGAGGCCTTTGTCCATTACACTGTGAGCAATGAACGCCCACTAGGTCCTCATTATGTTCTGAACTGAGGTCGATGCAGCACATAGCTGACTCTGCAGACCCTGGAGTGCTTTCCAGTTGAACTTTCTGATGGAATGTTCTACATGATAGATAGATCCTAGCTACCCGGTCCAATACTGTATGTAACAGGTGGCTGCTGAGTGCTTAAAATCTAAGGAATCCACCTGAGGAACTGAACTTTTCATTTCATTTTTAAAACTGTGTTCCTTTTTTGTTCCGTTTTTCCTTTTTTGTTTAAATGCTCTTGTCTTTTTAAAAATGCTTTTTGGCTGAGAAAAACTAGATATATTATGTATACAGAATTGAAACAGATGAGGGAGAGAACAGTTTAAAAGCGATATATTACAGGGTATTATGATTATCACAGGAATCCAGAATTAAGGTTGCATAGTGGAGTGCATTTGGGGCAGGGGGATTGTACACCAATGAAGAAGTTTGTCTTTAGCTTTTCAAAGAAAGGAGTGAACTGGGGGTGGGGGGCAGCAAGGGGTAGATAAAAAAGTGCAACAATGAATGAATGGAAATCCAAAATCTCTGTAAATGTTCATCAAAAGTAGTAAAATAAAATTTTTTTAAAAATTTTAAAAATGCCTCTTGGGGGGGACGGTGGAAATAGAGGGTGACGATAGGGGGGTACGGTGTTAATCATAGAGCTGCACAATTCGATGGGTGGGTGGGGTGAAGGAAATTGGAAGGATCTTTTGTGAAAAACAATGTGTTCAAACGCTGTAAATAAATGTAGGTAATATAAAAAAATTTTAAAAATTTAAAAATAATGTTTCTTTCCTTAATCTTACCAGATTGAAATTTTTGTTTAAATTGCTGCATATGACTAATAATTACCATATTAAACCGCATAGTGGGTAAGGAGTTAAAAACAAAAGAGCAAATGCCTTGTCCTATCAGGGTCTAACTCTAGGCTGCTTACTGACCTCTGCACACCTGGTATTTCCAAACAATGAAGGGGTTTGCGACACAATGTTCTGCCCTGCAATTTCATCTTCATTCAAAAAATGTGATTAGATCTAGCCCCGTAAGCATCATATACAACTCTCAGCCAATATTCAAACAAACAATGATGCCCCAGAAACATTTTTTTTAATGTTTATAATGGGCCAGTACTATTACACTGATTCATTCGGTAGCCTGTGTCCATTGATCATGTAACGTGAGTTCTAAAAGGCTAATCACAGGGTCACACAATTTGATGGGCGAAGGGAGGGGTGGGGAAAGGAAAAGGGGAAAGATCCGGTGTGAAAAGCAATGTATACAAACTTTGTAAATAAAAAAGTATAAAATTAAAATTTTATAAAAAAAGACTAAACAAAAATAAATAAAATGGCTCGAGTATAAACTTTGAAATATCTGTTCCTTCAAAGTGTCTGTTCGCTCCCTGTCATAACACAGAAATGCCAGTTCCTGCATCGTTTCAGCTCCACCGGTTAAACACTGCAAAAATAAAAGTATGCCAAACTATTTTTACCTGACAGACATATTTGTTCTTCCATTTGCTCAGCACACAGTGACTGTTTTGCATCAGCTCCTGAAGGACAACACAAAAAAGTGGGCGATATACATTTGTTGTTATCAGTTAAAGTGCTTCTGATTTGCAAGGGGCTTGGGGAGGGGGGGAGATCAGCGAGCCACACAAAGAGGCAAGTGTCATGGAACTCCTCACTGGACAAAAGCAAAGCTCTCGTCACCAGGCTAGCTGATCCTTTAGAAAAATTAAAGCTGGTGAAAGATGGGTTGTGTTGTGTTTGGGGTTTTTTTTTTTTTGGTAAAAAAAGGATGATTTGTTGTTGCTGTTTTGAAACTTTCTGAAAGATACCTCCAACTCCTTGAGTGAGTCCCGAAGCCTTTCTGGGCGCCTGTTTTTGAGTGTCCAAGGATAATCTCGTGCTGGCAAATAAAACATGTATTACAGTTAGTTCAACAGGACTTACAAAGGAAACACTACTTGCCAGTGTGACTTAGGAAGATTAAAATAAAACAACTTCATAATTGAAAGGCAGGAGGCTTCATTTCTATCATCAAATGACAGCCTTTGAAAGGCTCTGTCACAGGAACAGGATTTTTACCACAAAACAATCTCCCTGATCATAATTTCACGTTGACAACCAACAATCCTCAGAGAGCCTCTGAGACTTCATAGGCCTGGGAGGCTAGTACTCACCAGGAAGTGACCCATTCTACCCCACTGAAGTGACTGCATGAAAAGAACGAAATATTTGCTCCAAAAGAAATCCCCACTTTTGTAAGTGGTTTCCTCAGACCTTGACATTCTCAGGAGTATATGAAGAAATAAACAATACATAGAAACAGGACACAAAAAGTGTTTAAAGAACACAGTTATATAGTAAAGAAAAAATATCTTAAGAAAAGCAAAGTTTTAACAAATTAGCCCTAATATTGGTTTTTTTCTTTAAAATGGTTCTCTCTAAAATTTATAGCACAATTCAGTAATGATAGGCCTTTGTTTTGTTTTTGGATTCATTTAACTTATAAACCAAATTACTTGGTATATTCTCAATGTTAAACTCATAATAATATCAGTTTCCTCATAGAAAGGAGCTAATTTGGAGACTTTTAATAATAATTCTAAATAAAATTATGTGTTTGTGTGTGTATACATACTGTGATTTATATATAAATAATATATATGCATCTATAGACACTTAAGGGAGCTCTGGTAGCCTAGTGTCAAGAAGCTGCACTACAGTGCTAAAGGCATGCAGTTCGAGACCACCATATTTGGGAATGGAAAAGACTAGAGGAAATGAAATACTAGTATTTATAATTATAAATTTAATTTTCTTAAAATGGATGAATTTCAGTATTTCAGGCAAAGTCGGCATTGTAAAATGTCCCACTGGACCTTGAGGATGACATATTTAATTTAAATGTATTAAATAATACATATTTCAGAAAGAAAACTTAAATTCACATAAGCATATGTCTCATCAAAGCAGGATACTGCAGGGGTCTCAATAGTTGTGAATTAGAAAGGTCTGTAATATATATATATATGTACTTAAACAATGGGTTTTGCATTTAAAAGAAATCTGATATGAACAGTTTTCTTAATTATGCAGAAAAAAAGAATGTTAACACTGAACCTTTAAGGATATGAAAATTCAAGGTTTTCAATCATTACAAAAAATATGGAGTGCATTCAGGGCGGGGGGGGCGTAGTTTATCTTTTGCTTTTCAAAGAGAGGAACGAACTGGGGGGTGGCAGGGTAAGAGAAAAAAAGTGCAACAATGAATGACTGGAAATCCAAAATCTCTGTAAATGTTCATTAAAATTAATAAAATAAAATAAAATAAATAAAAAAACATTAAGCAAGCTTACATTCTGCCAACTTCTGCTTTTCTTCTAAGTGACCATGCTCGGTTACTGATGTTACAGAGGGAGAGAGAAAGAAAGAAGGGGGAAACATGGAATTTATTTTTTATAATAGCTTTTCTTTTTATATAAACATCTAATTTATTATAATATATACATAGAGATGAATCTATTATGGTAAACCTTGAAAAGGACGGATACAACAGACTTAATTTGATGTGTTCATTTCAGAGTTATTTCCCAAATCTGCCGCCAGAAGCTTATGTAGCTCAACAGGTGGGCTAATATCCTAGGCTTCCAATCTCATCAGATAGTGAAAGGAGCTGCAAGTGAGCCCAGAACAGAAGCTGCTTCAGTCTGTCATCAGAACCATGAAGGCAGCCCATTAGCCACCAAGCTAAGCATACAGGATGCCCACACAAGACCCACTTCAACAGAGACCAAAACAGGAAGCAACTCCAGTGAGAAAGACCTCTGGCCCATCATGAAACTTCTAAGATTAACAGGATTAATCAGATAAAGAAAATTGATCATTCACTCAGAAATGCCTATTTTCAGATATCAGATGAGGACCCGGGAGGCCAGCCTCAGTGCGACCCATGCATTAACAATGCCCTCTACTGGAACGTTGATAAATAAACGAGCACAGACTGTCCTCATACCCTGACGAGCAGGAAGATGAACATTTTCATGTCCTGCAGAAACATTTTCTCAATATGGCTTATTTTAAAAAGAAGAGATACTGAGCTCAGCACTTTTCTAAAGATTGAAGTGACTCTCCTCTTGAAATCCAAGGATTTCTCCAAAGCTCAAAAATGGTCAGTGTTTTCTACTTAAGACTAATTGATTTCTAAAATTCAGCTTAGTGGCAAAGACACATTACCTGGTTGCTCTTTCTTGTCATAATACTGGTAAATCCCGATGTCTCTGTCTATAAAAACGAAGAAGAAAAATCAAATTGTAGTAAGAAGTTAGACCAAACAAGAAACCAAGCTGTTTTAGACGATGGTGACAAACAGATGGCCTCTATGTATGACAGAAAATAAGGGAGCTCCAAAGCACCTGGTGTCAAGCTCATCTCTTCTAGGGGCATGTAGGGACTGGACAGTTTTGTCAATGTTAATTTAATGAGAAAGGATCCACACAAAGTCATAATGGTAAGAGCAAAATGTTAAGAGATATCCTGAAAGCAGAGAAGATAAAATTTTTGTCCATAATTTCTCTAGTATTATTCAAAGACACTACCACTGGCATTGACAAACAAAACCAGCGGCCGGAAAACCATGCTCTACCTGTTGGATTCGGAACTGTGCCTTTCCTCACTCCTTACACAGTTAAAGGGTCTAGCTATCAATCTATAGCATTTAGGGGAAACGTACTGGAAAGAACAGGACACATTCATAGAAAGAATGGATAAGAGATTAGAAACTGGTTTCAATTCAAAAAACTTTCCAAATACATCCAAACTTGGATTCTTTGCTGGGGCAACTTAACAAGCCAAGACGGATGTTGTCAGCCGCTGAGTTCGATTTAACCAAGGAATTTGTCCTTGCCATGTAATTCTGAGAAAGCAAAATACTTTGTTTTCTTTATATCTCCAAATAATCTTTCCTTCAAGTAACATTGTTTCCTTCCACACAAAGTAATTCATTCTCAGTTCTAGCAGAAGGGGACTTGTCCTGAAGTGGAAGCAGTCCAGGCTGCCCCCTAGTGCCTGCTGCTCCAAACTTTCACCCAGATGGAGGAACCCGAAAAACTGTATTACACTGGGAACTTGCTTCCTTACCACAGAATGTGAACTGACGATTAGCTGATCCTCCCCCATCCCTCTCTCACGTTTTCCAAAATAATCAATGAGTCCTTACAGAAGCTGTATTTTATTCAGCATGCATACAGACTGCAGGAACGCCATCGATGACATCTAACAAAGAGCGAGTGTGGGAAAGGGCCAGTCTAGAGTCCTGGCAATGCTGCGTTTTGGTTTGATTCTTGCTCCCCGCACTTCGGCTGGGGGGTGACTCTCACTACCTACCAACACAGCGACTGTTCACAGTGTGCAGCAACCACGATTGTTGTTTGTAATTGAAAGCATCGTCTTTCAGTACATATGTTATTCATCAACTCAAAGGGGTTTTGGTTTGTTTTTCTAATCCAAGAATCAAAGGCACTATGTCCACAGCCAATTATAATATTCCAGGCTCTAACTGTCACGGCGCTATGTCTAAATGGTGGCCTAGTGTCAAGAAGCTGCACTCATAATCCTGAAGTAATCCTGCACTGTAATCCTGAAGGCACGTGGTTTGAGGCACCAGCTTCTCCATGAGAGAAGAACGGGCTGTCTCCGCCCGGATAATTAACTGCCTCTGAAAACCCACCGGAGGGTCAACTATGGGTCAGTCTGACTCTACAGTACACAAAAAAAGAAGAAAACTGTGAAGTTTACAGTGGGTCCTAACTTCCATGCACACATCTGACCTCCTGTATCCAGCTCACAATGGGGTCGCCAAACTCAAGCAAGATGAAGAATTTGTACATTCTGAGAATGAGCAAGGTATTTACATGGTTACAAAGAAGAGAGTAGCTTTACCAAGGAGAGGCCTAGCTGCTACCACCTGAGTCAAGCACTCACAATTATTAGCTGCAAATATTGTTGTTATGAGCCATCAAGCTGGAATCGACTCAGAGTTGACCTTTCTGTGAGTTTTCTGAGGCTATAAAATGTTTGAGAGGAGACTCTCCATCTTCTTCTCACAGAGAGGCTGGCAGATTCAAACTACAGGCCTTTGGGTCTGCAGCACAATCCCTTACCCACTAGGCCATCTGAGTGCCCTTGATTATCAGTTAAGGAACATTTATGTGGACCACTGAAGAAGACACACTGAGAATACAGAATCACTTCGGGGACATTCCTGCCAAATATGCATACCTCAAATCTAATTGTGAGGAAAGTCAAGCTTAAGAACATCCTAAGAAAAATAACTATTTAAAATTAAATGCAACACTCTTGTTGCTTACTGTCAAAAGGGAAGTGTTTCTTCTCACATTCATTCATGAGCTGGCTAGGGACAAAACACTTGTTTGAAAATAATTTTCCACTTAACTTTGAAGGCATCCTTCCACTGCCTGACAGCTTCCAGTGTTGGTGTTGAAAAGGTCAAAAGAGACTGAGTCTAATACATTGTATGTGTTCTGTTTTTTTGGGATTTGGTGTGTGGAGTTGGTGTTCGGAAATTTCACAATGATAAAGCTCTTTATCCACTTACTGCACTGAGTACTTCTAGTCAGTCTAGAAAGTCATTTACTTATTTCTATGAAAATTACTAGTGACTTTTAAAAATCATTTCCATCTGCACTCCTTGCTGCTTTTTCTGGAATTAGTTTGACCTGGAGCTCTTAGCCGGAGTCTCTAATATTCTTACACTTTTTCTCTCCTTTTTTGTCACTGATGCATTTAATTTTTTTCTATCAAATGTATGAATTCCTTCAACATCATTTTCCCCTAACTATACAAAATAAATTCCAGAGAGTAAACAATAGGAATAATATATCTCCTATTCAACAATGTCAGTGTAGAGACTAAGGTGTGCCTCATCCAGGCCATGGTCTTCTCAATTACTATGTATCAGAGAGCTGGACAGTTACTAAGGATGACAGAAGAATTGATGTCTTTGAGCTGTGGTGCTGGAGAAGGGTACTGAACATACCCTAGACCACCAAGGGAACAAACAGGTCTCTTCAGGAGAAGGTGAAACCAAGCTGCTCCTTGGAGGCAATGATTTTGAAGAGTTGTCACAAATACTGTGGGCATGCTGCCAAGAGGGACCAATCTTTGGAGAAGGACAGAGGGGCAGCGCAGGAGAGGGAGGCCCTGGATGAGATGGATTGACACAGTGACTGTGATAACAGGGGCAGGAGGAGATTACACCTCCTTCTCCAGCAGAGCATCTGGTGGATTTGAACCATGTGCCTTCAGGGTTACAGCACAGCTTCTTGCCACTAGGCCACCAGAGCTCCCGATTTTTGTCTCTTCTTAAGAGTTTTCCACCTCACCCCCATCCCCCACCGCTTCTGTATTCATCATTAAATAAAATACTATACTGGAAATGCTACCATAACATTTATTTTTAAATTTTGTTTTACACATTGAATGAATACAAAAGGCTATCATGTAGTCTTTAAAAGTACAAAAGAAGAAATATAAGGTTAAAAATACACAATTCTCACAATCAGTGAAAATGTGGGCCTTTAACTCTGATTATTTCAGCTCCACAAAAATGATAACAATTGCCTTATGAGTAGTTCATTCCAGAACTTCAACATTCTTTACTGTTTGAAGTATGAAAACACTAATGAGACCACCACAAAGTGGTATGCTATCCAATTCAGGTGAATGGAGCAGGGCTCGGTGGCACAGAGGATCCAGAGAAAATATGAATATGCCAGTGGTGGTTAAGGCTGTGTCAGCATGGCTGCCCAGGGTACCCTCTGCCTTCCCGTTACACTCCTGTGATATCCATCACTCTACGGCCTCTTCCAATTCTGCTCAAACACCTCATTTGGTATTCCATTAGTTCTTGGGGTCTTATTTTGTTGAGTTTTCGTTTGGGGGTGGGTTTTTTTGTTTGGTTGATTTGTTTTCATTGTACTTGTTGTTTTTGGGGGTTTTTTTTGCCAGTGCTTTCAGTGCAGCTTGGAATTCCATTATCATTGATTCTTTTTTTTTTTTTTCTGGTATGCTCTACTTTTTTTTTATTCATTTCAATGAACATCTACAGGTGGGGGTGTGGGTGTGGGTGTGCGGGGGGGGGATTGTATACCAATGAAGGAGTTTTTCTTTTTGCTTTTCAAGGAGAGGAGTGAACTGGGGGTGGGGCTGGGATGGGCGGGGAGAAAAGTGCAACAATGAATGAATCTCTGTAGATGTTCACTCAAGGTGGATGGATCATTGACCTAGGACTAAAACCAAGGACTATAAACTTCATTAAAGAAAAGCTTGGAAGAACTTTAGTAGTCCTAATCCACAAC